CCTAAAGCGCCGTAAACTTTTTGTTTAGCGTCTAAACTCTGACTCTAAGCTCTATAAGGTCTAAATCTTCAGCTCCAAACCGTAAACCCAAGGCTCCAAGCCCTAAACCTACCTTAAACCATGTAGATCCATGTATCCATCAACCCTACAATCCCCCATAACCCATTCCCCTATATCCTCTCTATAAGCCCTACATCCCATCTAAACGGACCCAACATCAGATCTAACCCTAAACCCGTAAACCCTTAACTCCTTAACCCGTGAACCCTTAACCCCCAAACCCTAAGACCCTTAAGCCTAAAACCCTAAACCCCTAAGCCCATAAACCGTGCTTGCCAGGCTGGGGGCAAAGTAAGCGAGGTCACCTGCCTTCCATCCGCACAACCTCCGGCATCCCAGGCAGCCCGGTTTAGGGGTTTAGGTAGGGTTTTAGGGTTTAGGGGTTTAGGGCTTTAGGGTTTTAGGGTTTAGGTTTCTAGGGTTTTAGGGTTTAGGCTTTAGGGTTTAGGGGTTTAGGCAGTGGTAACCCAAAAGTATGTAGAATAACTGCCTCTTGGGCTATGTTTAAGGGGTTTGGTTTTTTGTTACCTACCTTTGTGGTTCAGGTAACAGCAACTGTAATAAGTTCAAGACTTGTTGTAGAGGGTGTTATAGATAGACTTTCGGGCTTAGGCTTTGGGGTTTAAGGTTTTGGTTTGCTGGCCTCTCTTGGTCGAAAGTGCTGGGAGGGGGCTGATGACATCCTCCCAGGTGGACTCAGAAAGCCTGTTGCAAAAAGGTTTGGTTTTGAGGTTTAGGCTTTAGGGCTTGGAGCCAAAGGTGTAGGGTTGAGGGTCTGGGTGGATGAAGAAAATCTTGCACCACTTACTTTTCAGGATGTGTTGGTTCATCGTAAACTGTGCCGGATTCAAGAAGGATTTGTGTTTTGTCTTCGTGATGAACCCTGCATAATGCGTCTCGAAAATGTTCCTCCGACTTGTGAACGAATGAAGGCCTCCAAATAGGTAGTTTCCGTACAGAGGGGACCCCAATGTAGACCCCACATACTATAGTACTATAGTCCTTACTACTGAGACCCCCAAAAGGCTACCCCTGACTTTGGGAAACCCCCCTTCTGATACCAGGGAGAGTTGACCCTTCAAGGGCTCGCGAAAATTGAGCGGGCGTTGCCCTTTCAAGTATTCGTAGCTATACGCCATCTAGGCTTCCACACGCACATTCAACTTTACAAGTCGTATTAGGCGAGAGTTCACTGTCACTGCAGTGGCCGTGTTTTGTTATGGGACTGAAAGAGGGATGTCCGCAATCCCAGTAATTTGTGAGGCTCTCCTAAAGATAAAACCGCGAAGGATGGGCTATGACATTGCAAGCCCAGAACCTACGATCTGAAGTCGGAATGTTCTGGTACCAGAGCCCTATATAACCCTTAGACTCTTGAACCCTAAGCCACAGACACTAACCCTGCACAGGCCGTTGAGGACGCTACGTGCTTCCCTTCGTCAGCTGCAGCATCAGTAGCACGCCCTCAGGAACAGCGTGCACACTACCCTTCTGGATTTAAGGTTGCCACCCTCTATGACGAAGCCGCCTCACCATTCCCCGAATATACAATGGTGCTATGTTGGGCATGTTCAGTAGGAGGAAGGGATTGCACCAGGCCCCGTGTCAGGACGTCCCTCACAGGCTGTAGGGTAGGAATTTGGTGGGAGACTTGGAAGTTTCGATTTAGTGTCAAGGCCCCACCAACAGGATTTAGCATTTTGTTCAGGGACAGGTGAGTAGTATTTCATTTGGGGATACTATAGTACCCATTATAGAGTAAGATTCTATCCTTCTTTTGGAGTATAGTATTTTTCATAAGGAATATAATGTTACTAGGTTCAACCACCAAGAAAACTACTCAGGTGGAAGTCTTCCTAGTGGGAAAACATGGTTCTTCAGGCCAAAATATGGAAACATTGCATGAAACATGATGCAAGTTTCCTCAGGACTGCCAAAACGACCTGCGCATTTCTCAAAATTAGCCCTTCCACTCAGAAGAGTTATTTCTCCCCTTAAGTGTGATAGCTCTTGTTACAGGGGCCTCCCAGCAAGATTTATGTTGAGTTTAGGAAGTGCACACTACATGAGGGGCATAGACGAGATTTTTCAGTTCCGCCACAAATGCACTTCGAATTCGGTAGAGTGTTTCCAAGAGTCAAGTCATTTAGACGCTTGAGGGACCAGTCATGCTCTCTGCCCATGTTAAATGAAGATGTTGATTGTATTACACAGGCCAAGATGGAAATTTCCCGCTTTCCAATCCCCTGACGGCCAAACCGAACCCTCAGTTTCGAAGAATTTCATATGGCGCGCAAAAGCATGGATGCTTGGTTTTCTTGAAGCTCCTAGGCAACCTCCAGCCAGCGTTGGTACACTTAAAGACTCATGGGTAAACCTAAAACCAAAACCCTAGCACAAGTAGGATAGCTGCAGCCCGCATTACTCATCAGCCCTTTTTTGGGGCGCCAAAGGCTCAGCCTATGATTACCCAAGGTTTAGGGTCTAGGGTAGTAGTTACATGTGGGGCTATAATGCTCCGAAGAGGCTTGTAACCAGCGCTTGCTATACTTAGAATGTTTGTTGTCCATAAGGTCATAAGGTAGTTTCCATGAAGACGGGGCCACACTATGGAGCCCCGAACACCGTAACCTTAATTCATGGAATCCCCACAATGGTGCTCCTAATCTTGGCAAACCCCCAAACCCCACATAGTCCCCAACATGAATCCACATTTTCCATATGATTGTCCACTACTGGAGCGTACTGTAGCATCCCTCAACCCAAAACCCAGAGCCCTAAACCCTTAAAAATGGTTTTTATTTTCTTTTCCATTATATAACCCTATGTATATGTGTACATGTATATATATATATATTCAAGGGACCTTACCTACTGGCAACCCCAAAACAGGGAACCCCAAGAATATAGTGGAAACCTAATAGAAATATAAGGACCCTGGTAGGTATATTCCTTACATTCCTACCCTAAATTCGCCTGTAAATCTTGCGCTCCTGCATTCCTACATCCCCAAACCGCTAAATTCTGCGTGTGGGCCCTAGGCCCCAAAACTCCCAAAACCCTTGAACCCTACATCCTAAACCCAAACCCTAAGCCCCAAACTCAAAGCCCTAAATCCTAGACCCTTGAACCTCCAAACCCTAAATAGTAGTTTCCATTCTATTTTCCATTATCCCAATATAACCACAATGTAACCCCTATATAATAAATCCTAAACCCTGTGTGGTGGCCGCCGGCCTTGTCGGCTCACTTGCATTCGCCATACGACCAGCTTCAAAGAGTTGGGATGTTTGCCGCCATGCCATGTGGGGACTGATCTGCAGGCCTTGGGTTAGGGTTTAGGGCTTAGGGTTTAGGGTATCATGGGTCCCGGTAAGAGCTTTTTTTAGAGATTTTATCAGGATTTGAGAGCATTTTGGGTTCAGGTGTTAGAGCTACTTTTTAGAAGTTTGGGTCCTGCTTCCGGGAGCCGTGGCCCCAATGACCATACTACCCTGTGGTATACGGGCTTGCTTCGCAAAAAGGGAAACACGTCCTACCAGCCATTTACAACTTATATAATATAACTCGAATTCCTAGACCGAAATTCTAGTTTCTAGACCCTAAACCCTAAACCCTAAACCTAATGCCTGATTCACCTCAATTCTAGGTCTCCCTGGTTGCGGGCTCGCCGCCGAGCTCTTTCCTGGGAGGAGAAAGCCTATCAGGGATGAGTGCAAGTGCCTTGGCTTCAGGCTATATAGGGTTATATGGGGCTATATGGGCATATATAGCGATGTATAGGGTTTGGGGTCTAGAGCCTGTCATGTCCTTGAGGGCAGCTGTCCTTAGGGGGTAGGTACTGGGGAACCTTAGGGAGCCTAGAGGACCAAGAGGGAGAATGATGGCATTTTGGGGATGACGATTTGAAGTACCCTCCTTGAGGACCTTGTAATTTGGGGTACAGGGTTTAGGTTCAAATTCGTGGTTTAGGAGGAGGTTTAAGGTGTTGGGTTGAGGGCTTAGGGCTGTGTTTAGGGCTCAGAGTCCACATCCACAAAAAGGTTGAGGCTTGTCTGGAAGGACCCGTGATGGTATCAAGCTCCGAGACTTGGGCAGTGCTTGTAGAATGCCAATGCCAGATGTTTGGTAGCGGGTAGCGGTTTAATGTTTTTAAGTTAGGGTTGGCAGTTGACCTCAAATATACCCTAACCCGTAAGGGATGTTGTCCCGCATGAGCGGATGCCCAGGTAGAAGGCGGGACTGCTACCCTTTTAAATAGTCAGAATACGAATTACTTGAAAGACCAGTAGCGGTCGCCATTGTAGGAAGTATCAAAGTGCCAGCAAGAGCACCGCAGTTGGGAAGTAACATGGATATTAGTAACCCTATTAGCAGTAATAAATAGGCAGCATCTTATGAGGAGTATGACCCAGAACACGCCGCTTCAACAACTGGACTGCTCCTATTGACAAGAGCAGCAAGCAAATTACGAGGATGTAGTGCCCGTGGCAACCAGTCATGTTTGAAAGAGAGCAGCTTCTGCAGCATTCGGAAGTCTACGGGAAGAGTATCATAAGGTAGCCATAAATGTCACTAAAGGAACGAGCACAGTAGTATTTGCAAGAAAGGAAGCTATCTGTCAGGAGCATCAAGGAAGAATCAAAAATGTCTTCGCTGAAGTTGTGCAAGCAGCAATACCAACACGACTACTTGCGACACAACAAAAATCAGACTGGTTGCTACCACGAGAAGGCAATGTGAAGAACAGCGCTGCAAGACAAACCCGCGTGAACAACCACCATGACATAACAAGCAATGTGACATAACACCCACCTGAGCGCAATATCCAAATTGCGGCGACGTCTGTTGTTTCAGTTTCATCTGCTACCTTAGGCTTGTTCATCTAGCTTGGGCTGCGGATGTGGCTACGTGACGTTTTCCTGGTAGTAGAATCCGAGGTGCGTTGCTCACGGTTCTGGATCAAGTGCAGAACGTCGGGCAGGTTGTGGAGATCGGACAATCTCATGTCCATCAAAAGGAACAGGCCGGACGTCCAAGCATTGAGGTTTTAGGGTGTAAGGTTTATAGGGTAGATGAATTAGGAGAAAGAGTGCAGTGCTTTTATGTTGAGAGGAACGTGAGTCTTGCTTGTAGACGATGATTTCCTGGAAGTTCCCAGATGTCGGATGACGGTCACTTGTGGCCTTTGATCGGGGCCATGTCATTTCTGGCAGTTCCTAAATGGGTTGTGATCATGTGTGGCTAGGACTTTGGCTTCCCAGTTTGAGATTTTGTCTTGCAGGTTGTCATGGGTTCCCTAGCTAGCCCGGCTTCGTATTACCACCCTCTCAGATTTCCGCCTGTTTGTACACAATTCAGGCCAACAAGGGGGGAACCAAAGGGGAGCGCATAGGGATCCCATGAGTTCCATGAATTGTTGCTCAGTGATGTGTTTCTATCTGGTGCTAAAGGCCTGGCCAAAAAGACTGATATTGTCATGTGCCGGCCACCTGAAGAATCAGGTGTGAGCTGTGAGGGGGGGCTAACCCAACAGGTGCCTTCCGCGAAACCCCCAAACCCCTCGACTTAGCCACGTGCGAAAGCTGCTGTTTCCAAGTGGGATCTTTCTTATTATGAGCCCTCAACAGCAGGTACTCCAATTCTGGTGCATGTCCACTTCAACCCTAAGCCATTGTGCTCAGTAGCTGCGCTATTTGCAGATAATTGAGTGAAACTACTGGATGTCGCGGAATTGGCCAGGGACTTTGCTTCCGCGAAGGACATACTGCTCTTCGAAACAACTTCTCTCATTATGGGAGTTCCTTAAACTGTCAGTTCTCAAACCCAAAACCCTAAGCTCGAAACCCTGGCCTAAAAGGGATGCCTAATCCTTGAGCCTTAACCTGCTTTACAAGGCAATTTGTACAAGTGGATTGAACCCGAGATTATCGCCCCATCAACCTTCTACAACTTTAATATCATATGCACCACAAACCTCTGCTAATTAGATAAGCCCCTACAGTAGCTTTTGCCAGTGATACTTGGTAGTTGCCCTGAATAAAGGGACCCCACCATAGACACCCAAATATTCTAATTCTCATTATTGGGACCTCTCAGAAGGTACCCCTAATTTGTGAAACCCTAAACTCAAAACCCTATATGTCCCTATATAACCCCTATTGCAGGTCTAAACCCTAAACCCGAAACCCTAAGTGATGCTTTAGGTGGACCCGCCCCCTCTACCCAGTAATAGTGACTACAAGGGATAATAAGGATTATCTTCGGTTCCTCTTATATTTCTATTATACCACTATTACAGGGCGGTCCTCCTAACCTATACCTATCTCCTAATCCCTAAACCCTAACCACCCGCCCCCCTAAAACCTACTTGTCAAGCTGGACATCTTTCGCTTTGGCCGGTTACTGAAGAAGAGAGCCAGTCCTCGCCTTGTAGGCCTCTAGCATTTGAAGGTTTTAGGGTTTAGTAGGATTCAGGGTGATTTAGGGTTTACAGGATTTAGGGGATTGGAAAAGCATTTTGGGGAGAGAGGGTTTTGTGGTTAAAGATAAGGGGATTTTGTGCCTGGGTGATTTACTAAATTTGGAGGATGTAAGGGTTAAGGGAATTTAGTAAATTTTGGGGGTTTAGGGTTTAGGGGATTGGGGGTTAGGGTTAGAGTTTTGGCCCCTGCGTTATCTACGTGCTTTGAGCAGAAAGGTAAAAGAAGATTGGCTTCCAAAGCCCCAGATCCTCTGTGCCAGTAGTCCATGGTTCCAGGTGCTTTGGGCCAGAAGAGCCTACCAGCTGGAATCGCAGTCAGTGCGCCTGGATGTCTTCGACCACGTCAAGGCTTGAGGGGCTTGTCAAGTAATCACCAAAATGGGGGTTTCCCAAAATTAGGGGTACCATTTTAGGGGTCCCCATAATAAGGACTATAGTATTTTGGGGACTATATTGGGGTCCCCTATTTTGGGAAATTACCAAATAGTAACATGTCAGGACGAAAGCACCAACCTATTTAGCGAATCTAGGGAGCTGTGTGGGCAGAAAGTCTGTACTGTACAGTGGCTTGGAACCAATGAAGCCAAATATGCCTTGGCAAAGCTCTGCGAATGAAGGAGGAAATCCGATCCCACCACGACACCTACATGGGTCGTATCGTGGCTTAAGTTCGGTGCTGAAGGTCTAAGATGAGAGAGGGAATTCATCCTAGCCGGGCTGAGTGCGGGTTAAGGTTTGTGCGTTAGGGTTTCTGTGGGGTAGTGTTCATTGTACATGTACAATAACTCATGCTACCACCATTGGATGGCGTGTCCCTTTTGAACAAGATAAAGTTATATGGGGGTAATGCACTGGTGTGAAGACACTACATACACTCCAGTGTGCAGGGCTTGCACGTATATTTCTACATGAGAATCTCTATGCGCGTAGGGCTTCTTTGCAAAGTGGGCGCATGCCGCTTCATTTCCCTTAACCACAGTGCAATTGAGGTTATGGTAGGGCTGCATCGCTGAGACTTCGAATTTTCCAGGTTCCATTGCCATAGCGGAGGCACTACTTGGGTCAGGGGGACTTAAAAGTAAGTGGGGTCATATCCCCTATAATTTATATAGTAACCCTATTTTCCCCAGTACTAACCTTCTTACTAAGTCCCGTGACCCTCCAAGTAGCGAAGTGTGTTGTTACAGCCAGCAAGAGACAGCTCAGCCAGAGGCACCCTATTGACAACGTTGAATCCCACCAGCATAGAAAAGCCCGGGTGATGGGAAACAGTTCAAACAGAACCTCAACCCTAAACTGGATACCGCCATTTCGAGAACGTCCCTCATCCTGAACCCCATAAAAGCCCTGCACTCAAACCCTCATTCGCCTGTCATTCCGATGCTGTCGGGGGGGTTTGAGGTATCGACGTGCTGCTTTTGGTCTTGGCCCTGCGCCCCGTCTCAGAAACCCTAAACCCTAAACCCTATACAGGGGTTATGTAGGGGTTATTTAGGGGATTAGAGCTTTGTCGCTTAATGTTGTTCAGGACGGGAGAATGTGTAGGATTTCATGCTTAAGCCTCTAGTTCTGAGGTCTGTCGCTCTAAGCAACATTAACTATGTCCATCATATCTCCCTTTGAAGGTTTGCCATATGACTCGAACCCCTTAGACCCTGACTCCTAACACCCTATAAACCCCAAACCTCAAAATCGGGGCTCAAAGCGCAGCGCACCCCGTCGGCCTTCCATATGCGAGTTTCTAAACATGGGGAGGACCTTTGACAGGGATTGTGGGGTCCCATCGGAGAGAGGTTGAAAATGGTAGTTTCCCAAAATAGGGGGACCTCACTATAGACCCGAATATGCTATAGTCCTTATCATGGTGGACCTCCAAAATGGTACCCCTAATTTCGGGAAATCTCCAAATGAACTTCCCACTCTTAACTACCCTAAACCCTATAACCTATTATAACCACTATATCCCACTATAACACCCTCTACAGGGATCGCATTACCCGCTATAACCCCTTAATGAACTCGAAAAAGTTTCTTACAGAGTAACGGGGTATAGGATCAATTTAGAGGGGTGTTATAGGTGACGGCGCCTCTACGGGCCT